CTCAAGGTCGATACCGCGGTAGGTAAACTTCTTGAAGGCTCTCTTTCTCTTGAGCTCTGTTGGTTGAAAAGGCGGTATAATCAGCGAATGTGTCCAGCGCAAGATCGGTTGTCTCTCCCGTGAACAATCCAAGCGGTTGCATCGTTATCGCGAATGTCCGTTTACACTGTCGACTGAGCTATTTTTCTTGTCATGGACAACTTGGCGATATGGCGATAGATCTTGAAGCCAATCCCGCTTTTCCACCTCCAGCTTCGAGCACTATAGGGTGTATCACATACCAGCAGCCTCCTCAGCGTTCTACAGAGAGAAAACAGTCAGCATTTCACAGTGCGACAGCATTTCACCATAAGACAAAAAACTCACGTATTCGATGTCGGCCATGATTGCGAATATGCTTCTAGGGTGCTTTCCGAGTTGTCGTCGAAAAGCAAAAGAAGTACTTGTCGGGGCTGGAGTGTCGTCGATACTGAGGTGGTGGGCCGGTGATGAGTTCAAGGAGCCTGAAGGAGCCAGAGCACGGATCGAGGTCGCCTAAGCGATTACGTATTGGGGTTAGCGCCGTTTTGCAGCCCTAAGATTACTTCATCCGCGCAGCCACTAACCGGAAGAGGAAAGTGGTTTGACATGAATAGCGCGTCAGACTATGTAAGACGCGGGCTTTGAGGCATGTGCATCTAAGAGGACATGTACAATGACTGTCGACATGGCATGGCAACGCCCTCTACGAAGATCGATACGCGGGGTGTTGGGGGCTGATAATCAAGAAGAAAGCATAGAGAGCATATCGAGTAGGGAGGGTTGGGCAGCTACAAGTGCGAAAATAGTCTGAAAAAGCGTGGCCTGCCAATTGTCGTAGAGGATACCAGAATTGTCGGTGGCGGCAGACGTAGCGCGCTTGTGGCGATGTGCACAACACGATGTTTGCAAGAGAGAGAGAAGGGACTGAATTGTTGATCCTCTGTGGACGACTTGACGCGCCTCAACAGTAACCGTTCGCTTTTTGTATTTTCAAAGATCCGCAGCAGACAAAGGGGGTATTTAATCGAAGAGACCGAAGCCCATGTCCTCATCAGACTCCTCCTCTTCCTCCTTCTTCTCCTCGGCAGCGGGGGCAGCGGCCTCAGCAGAGCCAGCGGCGGCAGGGGCAGCAGCGGCGGCGGCAGCACCACCAGCGGGGACAGAGGCGAGCTTCTCGGAGCCCTCAGCGACGAGCTGTACAGGTGAAAAACAGAAAGTTAGTTCGTGTTCGTGTGGACTCGCAGTGAAACGATTCGGCGCAAGTGCGCATCCTCGCAACTGAGCGAAAAAAAAAAAAAAAAACTAACCTCGTCGATGTTCTTGCCCTTGACCTCAGCGATGAGCTTGTCAAGACGCTCCTGGTCGGCATCGATACCGACGGAGGAGAGAACGGTCTTGATGTCCTCAGCGGAGGGCTCGGCGTTGCCGGCCTGCTTGAGGAGAAGGTAAGCTGCGAGATGCTTCATTGTGAATCTGCTTGTCGCGAAACGATCGAAGAATCAGTTATTGAGTTCGCTATAAAAACCAAACCGCAGCAGCTGGAAACACGCACAGGTTATTCTGTTTTGATAAAAACGAATGGGAGAATCAATCGATTTAACCGCAGAAATTGGGCGGAGACTGAAACTGTCAAGTTCGTCCGGAGGAGGATGGTGATGGGTTGTGGTGGTGGTGATTGTAGAAGGTGGAAGTGCACGATCCAAATGGGAGAAGATTTTACACGCGAATCTGGATTTGTGTGGGTCGGTCGGGGTGCGGAGAATCGCCACGCCGAGTTTTTGTCATGTGACGCGCACGGGTTTGCGCCTCAGGCTGCCAATTGCCCGTGACCATCTGCGACGCTGATGGAAGGACGGCCGTCTGGGAAGACTATATAAATGGCCTCCTGGCTCCCTCTGTGTCCTTTTGCTTCTTCACTTCCCTCACACACCTCCAATCTCTCTTCTCTTTGTTGCTGCGTTCGCCCGTCGCTTTTCCGTGCATTCCCGCGCAAATTGCGCTTCCGCCCTCATAGAGTCCGTCGTTGGTGATGTTCCCAGGACGAAAAATGCCAGAATTCATACGGCGAATCTGAGAGTTATATTGGATCTTTCTCCCTTCTTCCTGGACTCTTACATCTCTATCCGTGTTCTCGTCTTTCACCAAATAAAAGGAGACAAAACGATCGAAGACGATCATGAGTGTATGCAATTACCTTTCTAACACGTCTGATCACTGGATACCTGGTTTCTTCTTAATGGTCTGCTAATACGCACAACCTAAACAGTTCCTCAACTCCCTCATATCGTCTATCGAGACGAGAGATCCTACGAAATATGCTCCGCCTCCCGCGCCTGCCCGGAAACCTAGACAGCCGCCTCCTTCGGCGTCGGCCTCAGTCTCGGGCTCTGCCAGGTCATCCGCTGAGACGGAACAAAGGGACAGAGCGCGATCTTTGTCATCGTCTAGCGTCGGAGTGAAAAGAAAGGCTGAGAGTATATCGCGCAATGACGACATTCGTACAAAAGTCATGCGCCCAGAGACCGTCGTGAAGAATGTCTCTCGCGAGCCCCATGTACCTGCGTCTACTCCTTCGTCTCAAGTCAGACCCGGCATCTCGAAGTCATCATCTGCTCCGAAGACATCATCCAATCCGCCATTTAAACCAGCACCTAAGCCAGCACCTGCCAATGCCACCTCTACTACTCAACCTAAAACAAGTACACCAAGATTAACAACACCGTCAGCATCATCCACAACAACAGCAATGACGACAACAAAGTCTGCACCGGCCACAGCTGCTTCAAAACCAACTACCGCTTCTAAACCTGCACCCTCAGCCCCTATCCAGTCTAAGCCACCACCAAAAGGATCGTACGCCGAGATCATGGCTCGAGCCAAAGCGCTCCAAGAGAAGGCACCCGCACCTCCTGAAATAGTTCCTGTAGTAAAGCATCTACCGCAACCAAAGGAACGTCTCTCCAAGGTGCAACTGAAAAAGAAAGCTGAGGAGGCTAAATTAAAAGAGCAAGAGGAAGCCAAGGCAAAGAAACAAGCTGGAAAGCTCAGCCGGTCCAGTTCCAACGTCTCCGCTCCTGAGTCACGACAGGAGAAGATCAAAGCGCTGAAAAAGTCGGATGGGCCGGAATACAGGGGAACTGCTCGGCCGCGTCCCGCTGCCCCTGAACCTCCTGCATATAAGGGTACAGCTCGACGGCCACCGCCAGAACGGCAAAATCCATCGCGACTCAAGACGGCTCGCAGTCATCCAGCAAGAAGAAGTCGCCTTGACGAGTACCTTGCTACTGATGAGGAGGACGAGGGTGGTGACTACTTCGGTGGCTATGACGACTATTACTCGGATTCTTCAGAAGATATGGAAGCAGGTATCTCCGACGTGGAGCAGGAAGAAGCATTGGCCCTGCGTTTTGCAAAGAAGGAGGATGAGGAAGAGTTGAAAGCGGAGATGGCAGCAAAACGCGAGAAGCTCGCGAGAAAGAAGAAGCTTATGGCAGCAAGCAGACGCTAAAGCAAACACCCGCAATCACTCCTACGACACCGACAATCATTCACACAACCATCGTCTGATTCACTGTTATTCGCCGCTCGTCAGATTTCGTTTATACTAATTAGCACTTTTGAAAGCATTTTCGGGGCTTGCATTTTTTTCCTTTGTTCTCCTTCATTTTTGGCCCTTACAACAACAGCATTGGCGCTGGCCAGCTCACTTTCCCTCTCCTTGGCTTTCTTTCTTGTTTACCCCATATATCATTACCCCTGACTGGACGAGATATGAACGATAAAGCATCTGTGTTTTGCATGATTCCCTCTTGAGCGATTGCTTTTCTTCAGTATGTCCGGACCAGCGCTAGGCGTTCAGGCCAGTTTCTTATATTACCACAAGACAAACTTATCCTTCTTCATACTGTCTGACCTTTCGCTGAGTGCACATTAATGCATGAGAGAAATCGACTCCTGAGTAGGGGGTCAATAAGAGGATATCGTGTAAAGACCAAAAAAGACAAAAAAAAATGATCAACGCAGGATTCGAACCTACGATCTTCCGTGCGCGAATAAACGTGTAAGACGGACGCCTTACCACTAGGCCAGTTGATCAACCATAGTTGAAAATTTGACCTTTTACAATATATATATGGCAGACTAGCGTTTCTGCAGCCGCCACCACGTCTATACACAGTAGAAGCTGCGTTGTTGAGGTCGTGAAAAGCCATGGTATAAACCATGATAGATTGATGAAGAGCCTGTCTGGCTAACCCGACCCCTCGCCTCAAAACACCACGTACGGTACAATTAAGCTCGCAGCATTGCCGCCCTGCCGAGAGCTGTCTTGGATTGGAAGGTTCAAGATCGACGGACTCCGCGGGTAGTGACATCATTGCTTGCGGTACGCCACAGCGGGCATATAAACATCGTCTGTTGTCTTCGGGCCTGTTCCTCTCTCTTCGAACATGCTCAAGTGGACAATCTACTTCTCGGCTGCAATCCTCCTCCTGATCTCTCGCCAGTCTGACTTCACTGCTCTTTGGTCTCTTTTTTACGCTGAGACAACTTCAAATATGTCTCCTTCAACACGATGTTTGGTAGGGAAAGTCCGTCATATCGTCCCTCCTATGAGGGATAGTTTTCACAAAGGTACAGTTTTTCGTCCCAGTCATCATCTCGCTATATTGCTAATGCGCTGTCATAGGACAGCTCGGCCGTGTCGCGGTCATTGGTGGGAGTATCGAGTATGATATTGACTTCCACCCCTTTTGGCTATGCAGTGATGGGGTCATCTGTTGCTGAACTCATCCACTAGCTATACAGGCGCACCCTATTTTTCTGCAATGGCATCCGCAAAGTTAGGTATGTGTACAGTCTGCTCATGTGAAGTTGTTTGGGGAAAAGTTCGTGCATCTTGAAATCATGTTAACATCGACCTAGGATGTGATATGGTAAGCCAGGCACTTGATATGATCACAATTTCGTCTTCTAACAGAACAAACAGAGTCATGTCATCTGCGAACCATCCGCAGCTACGGTAAGTACGGGGGGGGGAGAGGGGGGTTTCACCATTAAGGTCCTGTAAACTAACAACTGCAGTAGGTGATTAAATCATACTCCCCAAACTTGATGGTCCATCCGTACCTTCGGAGCTCCAGCACAGACGGGCCAAACCCGAAAGATATCCCAGCCCTTGCCAAACCTATCATAGACTTCATGGCCCGCATCCACGTTCTCATCATCGGCCCTGGCTTGGGGAGAGACCCCGTGACACAGAAGATCGTCGTCGAGATTATAAAGGAGGCCATCAAGCAGAAAATGCCTATGGTATTCGACGCGGACGCCCTCATGATTGTTCAGGAGCATCCAGATCTTATCAAGGGTTACCGCCAATGCATTTTAACTCCTAATATCGTTGAATTTGGAAGGTTGGCAAAGGCTTTGGGAGTCGAGGCGCCAAAGGGCAATGAGCAAGATCAGACGAAGGCATGCAGAGAGCTCAGCCAGGCTCTGGGAGGTGTAGCAATCGTTCAAAAGGGCAGAAAGGACGTCATCTCTAATGGCATCACCAGTATCTTATGTGACGTGGAAGGTGGATACAAACGAAGCGGTGGTCAAGGAGATACACTTACAGGCTCTCTTGGAACATTCCTAGCATGGAGGATGCAATATCATGCTGGTCTATGGGACTCTGATCCACCCACAGGAGAGAGGGCCACCCCTTCATCAGCAGACATTGAATCGGAGCTTTCTGCGAAGGATTTGAAACATCGCATGTCACCTGAAACTACCTTACTTCTTGCTGCATGGGCAGGAAGTGCGATTACAAGAGAGTGCTCACGCCGAGCCTTTGCTGCCAAGGGCCGTAGCTTGCAGGCCAGTGACTTGACTGAGGAGGTTCACGGCGCCTTCCTATCCCTTATCGGCGAGCCTGAACACATTAAGTTATAAGCACATGAGTCCGTGCAGAAACAAATCATACATTCATACATACTATTCCATCCATTACAGGGACGAAGTCTGGCATGCAATTTCTGGCTTTTGGTCCAAGACAGAGTATGCATCGTGCAGATTGTATAGCCCCAGCATGGTATTTGAATACTCTAGTTGGGTGCAGAACTGCCGTCAAGACCCATTTCAGGGGACTGATTGTTCGCCATGTCATACCAAGGCGAGATTCGCTGGGTTGGTGGATATGATATGGAGTTCCCCGCAGATCTCATATATGGTAGCGAATGCTCCGTCTGTGAGTGCACATCCGTTTGAAAGGGTAAGCTCATGTTGGGTGCCCAGGACATGTCGAAGGATTCGGTGGATTGGTCAACCATGTTAGGGAACGGATATGCATCACCGGAGGTTGTAGGCACACCGAACCAGCTTTGCAGTGAGCCTTGTAGAATCGCCTCAGGTGATATGCAGCTTCTTGGCTGTATATCTTGTTCGGGCAGCTCATATTGTGCATTATTTCCGGTCCGTGAGGGTTGCAGATAATCCGTTGATAGTACCATGTTACAAGTATCCGCCGTCATTGGATCATTAGAGGCTTCAGTGTGGTTGTGAGTAGGCGGGCTCGTAGTATCTGTTACAACCGTATATCGTTGATTGGTTTCCTCATGGGCGATAGGCTGCCTATCATCATTAGGTATGTGATCAGCCCTCTCGATCAATTTTAGAGTTGGCATTGCTATACATAAAAGGTGATCAGACACGTGTGTCAATAGATCCTTCCATTCGGAGAATGTGTCGCCACAGAATCGGCATTTCTCATCTTGAGGTAAGGATGAGGATTGGCGATGACAGGAGTCAACTAGTCGGTCAATTTCCTTTGAACTGAGTTCCGTTTGACCATTCGTTGTAGGATTGCGATTTTTAAGCACTTTCTGACGCGGACCTTCCAAAAGACGGTGCTCACGAGCGAGATGCTGCAGGAAGTTATCTCGCCTGTAGCATATATGCCCGCAGTTCTGTCTATCACAGAGCCACCATTCCAGATGCCGATGACGCTCATTTTCATGCCGTATCCAGTCGGCCTTCCGCTTGAAAGCTGTAGGCTCTGAGCAGTTGAACGTGCAGGTAAATGGCCTCAGATCTCCGTGAACATGTTTTGTCCAATCGGATGGTTTCAGAAGCTTTTTGACTTTGAAGCAGAAAGTACATTCGAGTTCGACTGGAAATTGATCGACTGGTGGTGGAGGGACCATCGATGGCAGACTACTAGCATACTTTGTGGGATGATCCGATTTTGAGTAACCAGGAACACCACTTGACTCTTGCTGACCGAATGTGGCTCCAATTGGTTTTGCTGAGCCCCCTTGTGCAACACAGTAATGACCGGAAGGACATCTACCACACTTGGAGGAGCGATTGTGCTCTTTGCGAAGCATTGACAGACGATTATATCGTTTTACTTGCTCGTGGGCAAGTTGCTCGGTAAGAAATGGAGCTAAATCTTGGATCATGGGGTTCAAACGAAGTATCTTCTCCATGAAACTCTCCAATGTGGGCTGAAATGCGTTGTCGAAGGAAGGCGACTGTCCCTGATGACCAGTGCTTTCATACTGGTTCCCATGTCCAACGATGATCTCACCACTGTGCTCTTCCCCATCTGAGGAGGGAGAGTGATGATCAGGGTCTGAAACAGGAGCAAGCATTTTCGGTGATGTCAATTCGCCTTGTCGTTCATAGACATTGACCCCAGTGATTGATGCCTCAGGAGCCACTTTGTACATGATGCCTGGAACTCCTCCGTATTTTTTTAGAAGCGAATGTAGGTTACAGTTTGAATCACGAGCAGAAGTCGACCGCGAGCGCTTTCGTAGCTCCAAATGAGCGCTCAAACGTCGGACTCTGCTGCCAACACTTCGACCTCCACCGTTATCGTCGGCTGGATGCTCGCCCTTTTCAGAGCCAGTGCGTGTGGAGCTTTTAGAGTCCTTACGAGTACAGGTTTCCTCATCCAAGCCATGAGCTTGTTGATGCTCCTGATCTTCATTAGGGTGCCGGTGCGATACGCTGAGCTTTCTTTTCGTTTGACTAGCTCGACGTTTCAATTTAGATAACCCTTTCATCAGGCCATCGCGCTTCGTGAGCTCCCTACACTTGAGGTCTCTCTGTTTCCGGTCTCTGGCGGCAAGAACAGCCAAGTTACTTCCCCGAACACTTCCAATTTCGGAGTCACTGAGTCTCCTTGACCCCCAGGTGGCTGCAATGGAGAGACTCGCCGTCTCTTGCGCAAGGCTCTCAAACCATTGCATAGCGTTGCCTGAGGTAGGAGGCAAACGCCTTGGTTCTTCCCGCGGCTCAAGAGAAGTCCATTGATGCGAAAGCGGTCCCGGAAATTCGGCAACACGGTTTCCCTCTTTCTCAACAGCGCCCGAGCAACTATCAGCACAGAAAGCTTGGTTGAATGAGGATACCTCTTGATCTTGCTGAGGCGATGCAAGATCACTCATACTTTTGGCGCGGCGATGATTTTGAGAAAAGCCATCATCAGGCGAAAGCTTCCGCCACATATCAATTCTTTCAAATTTGTCCTCGAGATTGAGCTCTTTGAGTCTTTCGCGTGGACTCTGTATGAAGGCGTCAAGATCGCCGTGAGACTCCGGCTCTTCTCGACAAACCTGCTTGTGGTAATTGCGACCATCTTCCAAAGGTTGTGAGCTCGTAGCATGAGGATCCTCATCATCGGCACGAAAGTCAGGGTCAACCCATGGAACTGGTTGCAGCAGCTGATTGTTGATTGCTGCCTGAGCATGAGTAACAGTATCTTGATCGTGCAGCTCGAAATCAACACCCGATTGCTCTTCTACAGAGTCAAAGAGGTTTGCCACTGGGCCAGACTGCAGCTCTGTCGGATTTTGGCACGGAGAGTCGGCGCCGGACAATAGGATCTGTGGGTTACCTTCTATGCTCGTTTCCTGGGGACAGTATGTGATGTCAGACATGCAATCGAATGCTCGAGGACCACAGGAAACCCGGAGTTGTGCTTCAGCAGTCAATGTCACATTTCCAAGCACACGTCCAACCGCTGAATCGTCAGAGGCAGTTTGTTGCTGGACTGCGGCATAATCAGGATATGCCAATGAAGTCATTGGGCCAAGAGGTATTCCCAT